CTCTGCATGTCTTTGATATTCCCTTATTTTTTGCGTCAGTGTGTCAAGGTTTTGTAACACATGTTTATGCAAGTTGGCTGGTTTGGTAGACACCTTGAATAATATCTGTTTCTGTACGTTTAGTTTTTACTGGTGGGATGGCACCTTGTTCTTCCCTTGAAGTTATTAATATAATTTCTATGGTTTCAGGGATGAGATGTCTTTACAATATTCACCAATGTCGGATGATTCAGATGACTCTCGGTACTATGAGACTCCAACAAACACATGCTCATCCCTACCTGATAGTGTACCCACTAGTCCAGTGTCTCCTTATAGGTACCAAAGACCACTAGGTGGGTTCGCATCTGGTCCCCCCACCACTTCATACTCTACCCATGGATGCACTCCCCCTGCTGCCACATCTCCACAGTCTCGTCAACGAGGCTCAGATTCAGAGGGTCGGTTCCCCTCATCACCCAGTGATATATGCCACTCAGCAGACTTGAGGAGGGCTGCACTATTGCGGTCTGTGCAAATGCGGACACAACCTGCTGGCCCATCACCTTTCGAATTGCCATTTGTTCCAGGGCAAGAACCTGGGCATAATATCGAAGCTGAGGAGCAGCCGTGCTGTTACATGAAGTCTTTAGTTGATGAAAGGGAGTATCAGATTACAGAATGCTCTTCCTCACGTATCTCAGAGCCTGAAAACCAGGAAAAGTCTTGCAGGATGTTGAACATGAACTTAAAAGGGGATGAGCCTGCAGAGTAAATGCTTCATTAGTTGGATAATGAACCTGCTCTAACCTCGGCTTGGGCTTTGGAGGAACTCGAGTTTGAAATTTTGTTTAGGCTATTGATATGTTAGTGTATAGGTATATAATATAATAGATATTGGCTTTTTGATAGATCAATAGGCCAAAATAACATCTAGACCAAATTAAGTTGTTATTTGAACTCGTGATTACCTCCTACTGATTAAAACACTTGGCTTTTCTTTTTTAGGCCCATAGAATGATTCAATCATAATTCATAAGGTAGGGGTAAAGTTACTTGCATTCTTGCTTGTGCAGCGGCGAGACTCGATGCAAGATGAAAAGGGCTCTCTAAGTAGTGGGTCATTCCCGTTTGGTCCAAAACACATGGCTTGGGAGCCTAAATTCGTGTCCCAATCCCTACAGCCGTGGGCTCGGTGGAACGCTAACAAGAAGGTTGAAAGATTCAATTCCTCAACCAGGCCGCGTGAGTGAATTATGGCTTATGAGGTGCTCTTTTGAGTCCATGATACAGTCAATCGGATATTTCTATAACCATTTCGATTATATTTTTTATTTTTGGGTAACTAACTTTGATCATATATTTGACTCTATTTTATTTAATAGTAGATCAATTATCCTGTGTTTTTCTATTTGATTAAGGGGGTTCATGTATAAATAATAAATCGGTAGTTGAAAAATTGAGTAAAGGCGTAAAAAAGAATATGTTGATCTACTTTCAATTTAGTTTCAGGATGAAATTTGGAAAGGTGACGAATGTGATTACTGCAATAAATTAGCCGCAGATACAAGAAGACAGCTTCTTTGATTGGATTTGACCCAGCCAAACGAAGACAATTTTTTTTTGTTTTTTGTTTTTTGTTTTCCATGATTGGTAATTGTCGTCACATGCCATCAAAAGTGCCACTTTAATGGTGGAAGAGATGTGGTCCATCCAGGGACAAGTCCTCCATTTGTCCATTAATTGTCTCACACACACCGATACCTACCCAGTGTTCTCAATGCGCAATTAAGGTTTTCTGATCTACTCATGCAAATGGGTCTTTCCAGTTTTTTTTTTTTTTTCAAATTTTCATGATTTTTTTACTTAATGTTGTTCTTAACTTAATTTTTTTTAGTTCATTATAGTTTATATTTAAAAGTGGTTTAACCCATAGTTTTATTATAAAAGAAGAGTTTCAGAAATAAAAAGTGCCGTATCAGCTGCTATGTCTTTTTGTTTCTTGCCCACTCGGGTGCCATATTCCTCATAGACTTCGTTATTCATTCCTATGACTTCCGAGTACATGACCCAATTTTCATGGTGTTGGCTTGGGAAATCGGAGGAATATACATAACTCTAGTTCCTTCCAAACATAGGTCCTGTAATACCCAAGGTAAAAAAAATAAAATAACAATAACAATAACAATAATAATAATAAAAATAAAATTGAATAAGTTGGATTTGAAAATTTTTATACTTTTGTTTAGTTTCGGATATATTCTTATGGACTTATGGATATGATTTGAAAATCAATAGAGATAATTTAGCCTTTTTGGTGCAGGGAAAAATACCAGATAATTATAGATACTTAGTCGAATAGAGTTTTAGAATTGTAATATTGGTTGTACACTAATATTTAGGGATTTTAGGATTATTAAAAATAGTTGAGTGCTACACCTTTTATGTAATTCAACGGCTACCCTAAGTTGCCTCATATTTGTTATATCGTTAAAACAAAAATTGTGGGCTGAGGAGAATCCAACGTGCGGCAGAGAGAGAGAGGGAGAGAGAGAGAGAGAAGAAGAACAAGAAGGAGAGAGCGGCTGATTTTCAAGGTGAGTTTTTCTTCTAAAATTATAATAAGGAATTCAATATACACACATGTGCACACATACATGCTTTTACTTTTCCTTTAAATAAAAAGAATTGGAGTAATAAGGGAGCTATTGGATTTGAATGCAAAGCGTTTAAAGTAGTTGAGATATTACTTATGAAAGGTTTAAGTTGGTGATTGAGGAAGAGGCAGGGTGTATTAATTAGAAGATTATATTATATGTATCCAATTATATGTCAATATAATGGTGAATGTGTGTGTCAAGAAGACTCTTTGAAAAAAAAAACAAGGGATTAGACTTTTCTTTTAAGTTGTACAACGTGGAAGAGTTGATCGGATGAGGAGGACAAGTTCAGGAATTATATCATTTGTCCCTTTGATTTCAAAGAATTTATTTTGACCCCTATATTTTTTAAACTTATTTTTAACCATATTTTTACTTGGTAAGTTGAAATAGTAGATTTTTTTCAAGAAAATTATACTTTGACCTCAAAAATTTTAAAAATTATGATGTGACCCCAAAATTTTAAAAACTTTTTATAAACTACTCAGATTACTTCTATACCCTATTAGCTCACATTAAAAATATTATCTCCATGTAAAGGATATATAAAGTATATATCAATGAGTAGAAAGTATAAAAATTAAATATATAATCGTAAAATAATAAAATTAGAAATAGAGATTGATCGTTATATGTTATTTTGAATTAGGTAATGATTACATTGAGGTTAAGAAAAAAGGCTTTGAATTGAAGTTTGAGAATCAATGTGAGTAGTTTATTACTTTTTTTTGGAGAATTTTTTATATTAAATTAGTGGGTGTCTACGTGTGAATTTTTCATATATATGTTGATGTTTAGGGTTACAATTAAATATTTTAAAATTATGAATTGTTATACAAGTGAATTTTGAAAAACTTGTGGGATGATTTTATATCATTACTTTGGTAATAAAAGAGAAATTTTGTGCGCGTTGGAACTAAAACTATAGTTTTGGTGTGTGTTAAAATCATGTTTATGAGACAGGGACTGGCGTTACCAGGTTTAAGTGATAACAAGAGGCTAGTCATCAGAGTAGTGATGACAAGAGGCTGAGCTAGTTACTAGGTTAGTGGTAACAATAGACTGGGTCAACTACCAGACTAGTGGTAACAAACATGATTTGACAAATATATTTGGGATTGAATGTGTGTGTGTGTGTGTGTGTGTGAGTGTTTTGAGTTATAAATGTCCTTTCATTTATAAAATTATTTGTGAAAATGAATGAGTGTTTTAGGTTATATATGTTTTTTCATTATTGTGATCATAAGATCATTTTGTTTGCATGATTATGTGAGAGAGATTGAGTACAATTTATTGTATTTATGTATGTATCAAAATTTATTTTTGTATATAAACTGTGGGATTTATTTTCACACCTTATTAGAGGTGATAGCTATTCACGGGCCTCTGTGCTCATCCAAATATTTAATATTTTTCAGGAAAGGATTAGGGTGATGAGTAAGTTTGCGAATATGCAAGGGATTAGAGAACTTGAAAATTTATTTGATTGTACGTTTTCAGAAATAAATGTCTTTTATAATTTTGAGACAAATGTTTAATTGATTTGGAAACAATATTGCTTATGTTTAAAGTAGTGAACCTTATGATTTAATTATTGTTTTACATGGATTTAGTAATGATGTTAGTGATGTTTAATTTATTCTTCTGGTATTCATTAAGTCAATAGAATTGATGACTTTATTATTTATTTTTTGCTGAATTTTGCATTTATTATGCATAAAGTTGATTGGTTAAGGTCTTGGTGACCGATTTACTGCCCACCCTATGTGATCCGGGGTGGGAGTGTGACAAGTCCACCTCACATGCAACATAAGTGTATGATATCCAAAAAAATAATCTAAATTATAAATCTTTATTTTGTCCCCTAAAAGATATAATAATTTTCAGTTTGTTTGAATGATTAATTTTTTCATATTGTCTATTTAAAGAATAAAAGACGTTATAATGTGATCCATCGTTTTATTTTCATTTTGTTGTACATGTGTTTTGTGATTCCTAATTAGTTTATTTGGTATAAAATCGACGGACAATTAAACATAAATAAAACGGTAGATTATATTACAATATTTTTTTATTCTTTAAGGGGATAATGTGAAAAAATTAATTATTCAAATGACAAACTAAATTTTTTTGTATCTTTCAGGGACAAAATGATATTTACCTTTAGCAATACTATATGAACTTAAAAAATAGACTTAAAAACTAAATTTGATAATCTCAACTATTTATTTAACTGTGGCTCCCAACATTTATTGGGACCCACTACTTATATCAAGTCTAATTTTTAAGTCTAGTTTTTAAGTTCATCTAGCATTACTCAACCTTTTAAATTAAGTTATATGCAATTAATACAAAATGTTTTCATTGTCACATTACGATTCAAACAGAAAAGAAGAAATAATACCAAAGTAAATTAGTGTCCAATGGCATCATAGAAACTAATCAATTCACAATTTCACACCCTTCCCACTTAAATAAAGATACATGGAATCGATTTACCTAAGCTAATAAAGATTCTACACATACAAAAGAACAAAATTCGAGTGGGAAAATGGTTTAATTAAGAGAGAAGCCATGCAACCATTGCATTTTGCTTCTCAGAATCCATCTCTTCTTCTCCCAGCTGTTTATTACAATCTCGTTCCCCATTATCAGTAGCCTCCCACAGCCAAGACAACAATCTATCTGTTTCACACCATAGCTCATTTCCTTGAAACCCACCATCACAATCCCAGCCCCAATCAAGCTTGCCCTCATTCATATATGAATTTGTTGACGAACAAGACTGGCCCTCACCGCTCTCTGCATTTGATGAGCTTAAATTACCACTCTCAAGATCTTCACTGAACACCACGGTCCCGCTTTCCCTCTCCTCAGTAACTATGACATTATTTTCTTCCTTCTTTCCACTAAAAGCCACAACATCATCATTTGGATCCATTTCCTCATTGCCCACAATGTCATTAAGAAACGACATCTCGCTATCCAGCATTTCATGATTTGTCCTCAAGAACTCATTTTGCTCATTTTCACCAGGCCACAACAGTAAGTTGCTGCTTTCTCTCTCCTCACCACAACCCAGCAATTCCACTTCAGAAATCTTATAAGGAGGACTGGGCAAAGTCAAGTTCTCTATTTCCTCCTGCCAAGAGAGGGCACTAGACAAGGCCAAAGCTTCTTTATCTAAGTTTGGTGTTGGTGGAATTGCAACAGCAACGTTCACAGGTTTACTTTCTTTATGTTCCTCCACTAACTTCGAAGAAGATTTGACAGGGAAGTTGGTTTTCTTCTTCATTGCTGATCGACTTGTTCGGCCACCTCTTCTATTTCTTGCCATGCCTGCTTTTGCTAAATCCATGGCGACTGGTGATAGGGTTTGGTTTCTGGACGTCTTAAAGGTTTTGATGTTTCTGCTCAAATGAGAGTTCCAGTAGTTCTTGACCTCATTGTCTGTTCTACCTGGCAAGTGACCCGCAATCAAAGACCACCTTCTCACAAAGACAAAAACAACCACTTTATTAGGTACACAACCAACAGCTTCTCCATTCATCTGTCAAGTATTCAACTATCCAACTCTTTCCTAACGATATTATTAGTTACTTTTTCGGTTGCAGCACTACAGAGACGGTCAAAAAAAAAGAAGAGTATTTTAGTGAATTAATTTGCTGATTAATTAGATTTTAAGTTAATTACTTATAGCATTTCTCAAATTTAAAAAGTGGTACAAAAAGGACACATAATTGTGGGTTGATTCTGAAAGCCTTCATTTTTTTTCCTGCAGAAAAGGAAAAAGAGAGATATTGATTGTTTTTTATGGATTACTGTTATGGAGCAAAAAATATAAGTTAATTTTTTTGACCGAATGATGCGATAATTGTATAGTGTAATAGAATTATTATGATTATTACGGTTAAACTTTTTTATTGGTGTGACGGCGACATGATTTAATAAAATTATTGTGATTATAATGGTTAAACTTTTCTATTGGGATCCTATATTATTTAGAATCCAGTAATCTTTTTCTTGGAAAAACAAAGTACTCTTATCATATTAGAGTATGAATACTGAACTGACCTGTTCCCCAAAGATGCGTGCAACTTGATGATGATTTCTTCCTCTTCAGCAGATATGTTGCCTCTCTTCAAGTCGGATCTTAAGTAGTTAATCCATCTCAGTCTGCAGCTTTTCCCACACCTCAATAGCCCTTTGAAAATCCAAATATCAAACCAAATCAAAAATAACAAATCTCAAGGCCAAGAACATTTAATATTAATTATTGTTAAAACGTAAACTAGAGCACTAGAACACTTCATACCAGCATTCTTGGGTAATGATCTCCATGACCCTTCTCCATTAGCTTGAATGTAGTTGGTCAATATCTTATCTTCCTCAGCTGTCCACCTTCCCCTCTTCAGACCCACCTTCTCACAACACGGTGCCCTCCCCATTTCTGGCTAAACGCCTTAGCCCCACACACACACACCCCAAAGTAAAACTATAACCTTTTGTGGGTAGTAAGCCTTGTTGACTGACGAGTTAGGACTGCATGTATGTGCGAATGCATAGAAATGATATTGTTTGCAAGTGAGAGTTCTAGAAAGGTAAACTTTGTCTTTTATAGAGAGAGACAGCGAAGTGGGGCCAGTGATGCGCAAGTCTTGTGGTGGAAGGTTGTGCCACGAGGGCTCCATGGCCAGGGACTTGTCGTGGCTTCTCTACCTTCGATAGCATCGTGACGGGCTTCCATCTCCCACGTTGGTAATCCCTCGGACGACCAATTGGTTTGTTCTTTCTCTTTACGTTTGTCCTTATGAGTTACACGCCACTTCACAAATCACATTCATCGCTTTTATTACTTCCATCTACCTCTGGTACCCACTTTCTCTTTTGAATTTACATAGCATGTCCAAGTCCAAGTTTTGCCTGTTCTTGCGTGAGACAAATCTGTGTATTGTCACGTATTCTTATGCGATGATTGAAAGTTGGAGGAATAAATAAAATATTATGTTTGATAAGAAAAAAAAATAAGAATAATAGAAAAATAGATAGATTCACTTTCCTTTCAACTCACAAAAATTAATTCTTTCAAAATCGGAAGGAAATTAGATAGAAAGTTAATTATATATATATATATATATATAATAAAATTTTAAATTAAAAAAATATTTTTTTCATCTTAACTAGGGGTGAAAATTTTTGACTCAACACGAATTTTATGACACGAACTTGATTATAATTCGCCACCAACTTGAAAATGACCTGACATGCGAACAAAAAATATAAAAGAATCATAATTTTATGATTCAATACAAATCTAACATGACACAACTCAATTATCACCCGTAATTTTAATCGACACAAAAAATAATTAAAAAAAATAGTTATTTTTATTTTACGTCCATCCAACTAAACACAAAATACAGAAAGTATATTATTTCTACTTTTCATCTATAAAGAATGAAAAATATATATTCCTATTTTTCGTCGTTCTTGAAAATATTAGATCTAAAGTGTTTAAATGTTGGCAACTTTGTCATCACATATATAGTGAGGTTATTTCACCACTCGAGCCGGTGAAGTTTAGATCACGTTAGAGTAAACTTGTCGTTCTTATGACCGTAGAAGTGCCTAACTCCTTCAACAAAGCTGGAATATCATGATCTTCCATGACCATCTAGGGTCTGTTTGGTATGTTTTTTTTTAAAGAAATTTGAATTAATTTTTTCAAACTTAAAAATAGAATTCAACATTTAATGTTGTTCATACTCATATTTGATATACGCAGGGATATGCAATTATTATGATTATATATTTGTATATAAATAACTATTATGTTATTGATTACGCCTAAAAAATAACGCGGCAGTTGTAGCACAGTTTTGGGATATCAATTTTACAGAGAGATAAATTAAAAAAATAATAAAATGAACAAAAGAACAAAAGAAATATATTAAATAATTATTAAAGAACAAAGATTAGTTTTAAATATAATTTAAAGTGAAACAAAGTGACTAACAAAAAAAGTATTCAAATTTAACAAACAGTAAAACGGCGAAAATCTGTTACACAAATATGATATTTTAATTATTTTTAATTCATTGAATAACTCAATTGAGAATATAATTCCCAAAATTCACAACCGGAAGATATAGATTTATAAATCAAGATTAAACCAAATGTAACCCTTTGAAAAATCATTCACCATTTTTAAAATACGTAAATTATTATCATTATTAAAAAAATTCAACGACGACAATATTTTTGAAAAATAATATTGAAGTAAAAAATTATATCAATAAAGATAAATAATTGATCCAAACATACTCAAAGAGTTAATCCATTCAATAGAAAAATATGATTGAATCCATAAACAGAATAAATTTTATGATTATTCAGAAAAAAAAACATAAACAATAATTTAGAATGATAAAACAAAAAAGTTTAACTAATTAGAAATCAAATATATAAATTAAAAATAAATAAAATATTTTCTATTGTGTAAATTGATCCCTCACCTTCCTAAGAATTTAATTACTCAGAAATATAATCGACAATAAAAATTTCCTAAAAAAAATTTCCTAAAAAAATACAACAAATCGGCAGCCATCAAAATTTTTTCTGCTCTGATATGCGTCCGTCTTCTGTCCAGCCGCCTGTCTTCTTTGACCTTTTCGTTTCTCTGGCCGCCACTCCTAGGGAAAGAATAAATATATAGCCGCCTCCCATAGGAACAACATAGGTTAAAGCCAATCACTTTTTTTGACAAAATATATTTTTCTCCTCTCTTTATTTCAGCGTATTTATTTTAACCCCTCTTTATTCTAATTTTTTTTATTTCAGCCCTTAAAACCCAATAATAAAGTCCCAAAAATATTGAATGTAAAACCTAATTCTAACCATCACTATATTATAATCCCTTGTTATTAAAGTCCTATAGTCTGTACGACACCGATGTTATATTAATTATGCTACCAGTTGTGTGAAATTACGCCTCTATTTATGCTTAGTAGGTAGCCTTTGACATCCCAGAATAGTGGCCGAATTAAACAACCTAATCCATTTGACTGCACATGATTGAGGCCTGTTCACACGAACAAGTAACTTTTTTTGGGTTTTGAGTGCTTAATAAAACAATGCAAAAAGAGAATGGGAGCCCAACGAATGCTAAGTTGGATGAGGATTGAACTCGTAGATTAGAATTTGTAATGTTTCTGTTTTTTTTTTTTTTTTTAAAAGTAAAACTATTCTGAAATTTCATTATGTAGGAAAAAAGTTGATTACAGTCGGTAACTAACAAAGTCTTTAGCTTGGGTGGGGGGCAGCTCACCCAATCCAATGGAATTGAGTTTGACAAAGCTTCGGATACAATCCATTGAGCTGCTCTATTAAGAGCTTTTGGTTTGAATAAAAATCTTCAATTCAGAACTGTAGCAAAGTGTCTACTATCCCTAACAAAGGCCTTAACTTCCCATGGAGGAGTGTCTTCAGTTGAGCTCAATTTGATTAACTCTATATTATCGCTTTCGATGGTCGCCTGTTGGAGTTAACTAGCTGAAGTCAGGAGACAAGCTTCTCTAAGAGAAGCAACTTCGGAAAATAGGCTGGAGATCGCAGGAATTCGTTTGGCTATAACCCCCATCAGTGCCTCGTTTGTTCCCCTAAGAATCACCCCTATAGCAGCTTCTCCTTTCTTAAAAGCGCCATCGCAGCTCAGCTTTGCACCTTGGTTATGGCCTGGGTTTTTTTACCTGTAGATTATGCACTTCTTCATGTTGACCCCCTTGACTACCCTTATCAATAGCCATCACCTCACTCCACAACTTCTGTGCTCTCATCAAAGTGGCCAATGCATTGAGGACATCTTGCTTGAATATGAACTGGTTATGGGAATTCCAGATCCCCCATCACTTCCAGCGATTGGGAGGTATCCCTAAGACTGTCCATCAAAGTCAAGGCCTACTGTACAATCGTTTGACGAAGATTCAATTTCATTCTCAGTCCCGGATCACACCCAAATTAGACCTTCTTAGTCCACTCGCATTCAAAAAGGAGGTGTTCAACTGATTCAATCTTATCGCTACAGATTTGTCACCAAGGGGATTCACCACATTTTTTCTTAAACAAATTTTCTCACGAAAGCAAGCTTTCCACCAGGTGATATTGGGTTCATGTTTAACTACATTTACCACTAGGTGCACTAAGTAAATTAGCAATAAAATGCAGCATGCAAGCAAAGCACAACTGCTCAACAACGAAATATTTAATGAAGAAAAGTAATAGCTAGGTATCTCTTTTTTAACTTCCAAAACCAACTTGTAGGCGATCTCAACATAATTGGTGAAAATTATTTATTACGTCCAAGCACATGGCTATGACAGATGACAGGCAACCCAGGCCCAAATTCAATTGGGTTGGCTTTTTTTAGGTGCTGCCAAACCAATCGGAAAGCCTTGATAATTTTGGGCCGAAGCCCAACAACTAACGTATTTCTTCATCTGTGCGTTACTTGTACATAGCAACTTTGCCTCGACAATAAAATAAGGGTAAATTATAAGGAGATACACCAAATTAGATTTATTTGGTAAAAAATACATACTAAAAAATATAGGACTATTAAGTACTTAATTTTGATATTTATTTGTATTCAAGTACATAATTTAAATTTATCTATTTTTATTGTGACATTTTTACCCTCCATTAATCTATGTGTATTTAATGCACCACTTTTTTTTGAAAAATAGTACATTAAATATCTCTTAGTTTTATGGGAGAACTTTAATATATATATATATATATATATACACACACACACACACATGTATGTATATACTTGTTGTTAAATCTGTTATTTAAATTTTAAATTATGTTTAATGCACTTTGATGTATATATACACACACACACACATGTATGTATATACTTGTTGTTAAATCTGTTATTTAAATTTTAAATTATGTTTAATGCACTTTGATGCATGCGTATTTTTTTTAAAAAAAATGATTTTGTTTTCAAATTATATTTAATGCACCTTGATTTAAGTATTTTTTTTTTTAAATACTTTTATTTTTAAATTAATTTAATATCCAAATAATGTAATAGTATAATAATAAACAGTAACAATAACAGTGTAACCAATACACTATAACAAAAATAGTGTTCAGTAGTTTTGTGTATATAGTAACAAATTCAAAACAAAGATAAACTATTTTGAATGAAATTATATGAAAATATATATTTGATAAAATGTAATAGTATAATATTTTGTGTTAATAGATTGTTTCACTATTATTATTGCACTGTTATTATTACTATTGTTACACTATTATACTATATATATATATAAATTAACAAATACATATGAATCAAATGTGCATTAAATATGTATTTATATGTATTAACAATTACAAATGAATCAAGGTGGATTAAAAATAGCAAATTTTGAATTAAATGACCCTAAAATAGACATTCATGTCTTTTTAATTCATATTTTATTCTATATATTTTTTACCAAATAAGTCTAATTACCGACTTTCGAAGAACCCATAAAATAACTTCCTCGCAACGAAGAAGGAAAGAGACTGAAAACGTGGCCTTCATCTATTGGCCGAAACAAGTTGAAGCCTTCTCTCATTGGTCAGTTTTGGCAAGAACACGTCGAAAGCGAAACATGCTTCTCATCCTCTACCACACACAGAGGAAAGAAAAGTGCCAGAGCTCACAGGGAAGACGACAGCTGATCCCTCGCAGAGAGAGAGAGATTGAGTTCAGAAGAGTTCGTTGTCATTGAGGAATATATTATTTCCGTCGTGGAGAGCGAGGAGATCCGATTGAAAAACCTAGGTTCTCAGTAGGGAGATCCATTCTCTCTACTGATCTCTGTGCCAAAGCTCTATGGCGTATCGAATATCAAAACTGTTGCTCCTATTATGTTTTTCATCCTACGCTCTAATTGCCATTTCAGGGTTCGTGTTGATGATCATTCATATACTTATATATGCAAATATTGGCGTTTTTGAGTTTCTGATTGAACGATTGGATAATTGCAGGAAAAGTTATTATGATATTCTTCAGGTGCCGAAGGGTGCTTCAGACGAGCAGATCAAAAGAGCATATCGGAAGCTCGCATTGAAGTATCATCCCGATAAGAACCAGGGGAATGAAGAGGCTAATAAGAAATTCGCTGAGATTAACAATGGTATGCTCAATCCTTTACTCTGTTGTATAGTATTTTTAATTGTTTATCATTATATTCGTATTCGTCTCTTGTTTTCTGAGTAATCTAGACATTTTTTAATCTTGATTGGTTGATTATCAGCTTATGAAGTCTTATCGGATAGTCAGAAGAGAAATATATATGATAAGTATGGTGAAGAGGGTCTTAAACAGCATGCTGCCAGTGGTGGTGGAGGCGGGGGTATGAACATTCAAGACATTTTTAGCTCGTAAGTCAAATTGTCCTTCGTTTCTTTTTCTTCAGCAAAATGCATCTTGCTTATGAACAACTGACCTTTAATGCATGAAAACGTTGATAATTATGATTTTCTAATTTCTGTGATTGTTGACAAGATGAAGTTGTCTTCTAGGTTTTTTGGTGGGGGCCCAGTGGAAGAGGAAGAGAACATCGTGAAAGGTAATGATGTAATTGTGGAGTTGGATGCAACACTGGAAGATTTGTATATGGGGGGATCATTGAAGGTAAGAAATATGTTTATCCGTTTCCATCCCGAAATGAATCAACTGTCTGCTTTTATTGCGCATTATATCATATCATAGATGCTGTAATGAATCATATCTGAAGCTTCATATTGTCGATTATACATGGATTCTATTGAAAATTCTGTGAGTAATGGGTGGCAAATTCAGCCAGCCCTAAAATTTGGTCATACAATTGAATAGTTGAAAGCAGCACTCGTATTCCCTTCATTTTGCCTTAGGATATCGTGGGAGTGGTAGGATCACTTCCCTCATTTTGCCTCATGTGTAGTACAGTCAGTCTCACTCACTGAGGTAATCAAGAAAGCGTTGACATAACCATACTCAGATCAATTTTATAAAGTGCAAATGCTCTGAGCAGTATTCAGATGTTAGTCTACCAAACACCAAACCTGTTCTGCTGTAGTATAAACTTTTTGAGTGCTTTGTATACGTTAAGCCAATTGCCAGTCATTTGCTCATTAGTATTGTATAATGCATAACCCATCAGGTTTGGAGGGAGAAAAACATTTTAAAACCAGCCCCTGGTAAGAGACGCTGCAATTGTCGAAATGAGGTCTACCACAAACAAATCGGTCCAGGGATGTTCCAGCAGATGACAGAGCAGGTATGTTGGTCCTCTAGATAATCATGCTGCAAACTCTACAAAGACCGCCTTTTTGGGCTAGTGCTTATGTGACTAAACCTATGCCCATTGTTTGCATTTGGACTTTCAAAATCCTCTGTTATGTCCTTGCAGGTCTGTGAGCAGTGCCCAAATGTGAAATATGAAAGGGAGGGGTATTTTGTCACAGTGGACATCGAGAAAGGGATGCAAGATGGGCAAGTAAGCTTTCCTTTTTGTGTAAAAGGGACAAATTCATTTATACGAAACGTGATTAATGTACTTCCATGCAAATGTTCTAGTTTTACCCCTCTTCATTTGCCCCCCTTGCAATCCCATTTTTACGTATGATTGTTTCAGACAAATTTCCTCTTCTTCCCCCACCCTCGCTTCCACTATTTGAAAATACTAGTTATTCATTGTTGCATAACTTATTGGCCAAGTAAAATGTCCCATTTATTCTATTATATCTCTCTTCTTAGAGCTTCAAGTGTTTGCAAACTGTGATTATCATGATTTCATGTCCATCACTCATGTCTATCACCTGCTTTGAAATAGGCGACTCTAAAGTGCTAGATGTGCGAACCATAAGCCCTTTTGGCAGTACTGCCAAGGCTATTGACAGGCTGTGCACCATGTCATGTATATTTTTCTTAGTGATCTAAATGGAATCAGAGGAGAAAGCATATTCTGTTCGCACGTTTTGCTTAGCACATTTCTCAACCTTTAACTTGATAAATATGATGAATAATGATGAGGAGGAGGTTAGACATAAGGAATCCCTTAACTATGTTGATGAATATGCTGACTTGTTGCCTAGGATTGGTACTTGTTTGCCTATAGTACCTGAAGGAATGACATTTCCTGAGTTCAGAATGATGCATGACAATACTTATCCAGAAATAGAAAAGTAATAATCTTTGATATAGTTGAGCCGAATATTCAAATAGAACTGTCAAATAGATGTTTTTACATCATAGGTGGTTTCTTAATATATGGCTTGCTTTGTATGATCTCATGCTAAGCTTGAAAGCAACAGGTGGAATCTTTTCCTTTATTTTCTTTTTCTTTTTCTTTTTTTTTTTTGAATCTTTGGGCTTTGATTGTAACACTTAACCGCTCTTTTTACAGGAGGTGGTCTTCTATGAAGATGGTGAGCCCATAATAGATGGTGAAGCAGGAGATCTTAGGGTTAGATCTTTATCCTTGGCTTCATAGTATACATACTCCAATTCAAATTCTTTTGGCTTCATGATATACATACTCCAATTCAAATTCTCTTGGCTTCATGATATGCATACTCCAATTCAAATTCTGTGCTGACGTAACTTTCAAATTTGGGCAGTTTCGTATTCACACTGCACCCCATGATCACTTCAGAAGGGAAGGCAATGACCTGCACACAACTGTTACTATAACTCTGGTAATTGTTACGGTCATCTATTTTCGGGCACATTAATTAGTGTTGATGCGTCCATTTTGCATAGAGATAGTTTTCATGATAGCAAGATCAACATGGTTATAGTATACCTTTTTCTCTATGAATTCAGTGTGATAAACGCCTTAGCAGCTTCACTGTGTTCAATATATGAGGTTCAATGGTTTTGTTTATGAGCACTGAGAGAGATTGTCATGCTGGAAAGCTATGCTTTTCCTTGTTACATAGTTTCAAAGTACTGATGGAACACATCAGCTCTCAGGCCCGTACTTTGATTGTACAATATCGCTGCTGCAAGTGCGTGGGCCAGAAACCTATTTGGAGTCTTTGACCCTTAGTTGGCTAAGAAAATCAAAGTCCAGACAGCTAAAAGTAGTTGGTTTAACGTGTGATGAACTTGACTCTAATTCAGTTCATTTTTTCCTATAATCTAGGCATTTTTAGGGGATACTAAGAACAATATACTTATAAACTTTAAGCCCGGGGCAGGGGGGTTGTGCGGCTGGCAACTCTAACTGTATACTTTGGGAATTGTTACGCAGCCTCTAGGTTTACAATGTTTAGCCTGAGAGGATTAAGAAAAAGGAGAAAGAGGCGGAGGGGGTCCTTCACTGGTATTAAGAGTGTGACAAAGATTGCTGGAATAACTCACTTTAAAAAAAAATTATAAAATCAGATATAAAAAATTGATTTTGTGTTTTTTTTTTGTGTTGGTTTTGAATTACCTTGATTTAATGCTATGCATCGATATTTTCGCTTCTACTTTCTCTTTGTCATAAGACTCAAAAACAAAAAAGTAGGTTCTCTTATGAGTTGATTTACCAAAATCTGCTCGTCTTTCAGGTGCAAGCTCTTGTTGGCTTTGAGAAGACCATTAAACACCTTGATGATCATCAAGTGAACATTGGTTCAAAGGTGAGCCTGTATATTTGTTTTATCAAAAATGTGGAGAATAATGGGTATAAAGAAAGTGAGTGAAAATAATAAAATAAAAATAAAAAAGAGCAACAATACTATGAAGGGTAAAAGTAACCCTTTTTCCATTATTCAGGGAATTACAAAGCCCAAGGAAGTGAGGAAGTTCAAAGGTGAAGGGATGCCGCTACATTTTAGCAACAAGAAGGGTGATCTATTTGTCACATTTGAAGTTCTTTTTCCTTCCTCACTAACAGAGGAACAGAAGACAAAGATCAAGGCAGTTCTTGGATAGTGTATAGACTCTTTTTAACAATTTTTTTCATGTTCCAAGGTGCTCCCGTTGTAACATGATAGAGGACTTTATAGAATGTTTAGGCTACTTATATTTCTTTTTCTCCTTTACACTTTGAACACGCAAAAAAAGAAGTTATAAGATCAAAAATAGATTTGATAAGTTGGAAGCGGCATACTCGAACTCAGTTTTAAAGAGCGCATTGCCCACCGCCAATGCATTGGTTACACACAACAATTATACCTGCGGCAAAATGAAGAGTTGTTCACCCCCGACAGGCAGAGCTTCGATCTAACTTTTTCCAAGGAAAAGTCGAGCTCTTAGCGTGTGAAATCATATAATTTGATGTGCGGTATAAATAATCTATTGAACAATGTTATTGAAATTTAATTTATTAATCTAATTTATTATAACTTTTAGATTGACCATAAAATTCATCAAACATTAGTACTTATTGTTGTCTAATGGTTCTAATAAAGTCATATTATTAGATTAATAAATTAAATTTAAATAGCATTTCTTTCATCTATTATGAATATGTATGAAAGATGATAATAAGATATTTACTATTAATTGGGTAAACTTAATAACTAATGGGGTATAGATTGGAATAAACTTAATAACTTTGGATTATAAAGTATAGTGGGGGTGGCAAAGAACTTTTCCGGGTGGGAATAGTCACCCCATACACCCTAATTTTTTACTCAACGTAGTTAGTGTCATTTCTACTCAATAAGTAGGGCTGGGAATTTAACAATACCACTTCACCTTGCATAGCAAAAATCACAAGATGGTTAATTAATTAAGCAACATCCAGATTGCTCTATGAAGCATTACAGAACTGTTGTCATAGTACTGAAATTTCCTCCAATACATTTCTTCTTCCATGTTCTTCGTTAATATATCACCTATTTGCTCTGAATTCAAATATGACCAATTCAAGTAGAGCACATAATATATAAGTGGGTATGTAAACAATACATAGTGGATGATCTATGAAGGAAGAAAATAAAGGCAGCTTATTGCTTTGCTCGATGAAAGATGTATCAGTCCCTGGGTATCAGAACTCACTCTTGAGATGCTTGATGGCAAAAGTCACCGAGGAAATAGCTTTTCGTTAAAGTTGTTGAAAAGCTCACATCATCGCTAATTCCTCGGCAAACACCTGCAATGATGTTTTTTATTGCAAAATCTGTGTGCACTAGCATGTGTGTTGGGGGTATCACCCTCTTAATTGGATTAGTTTGCGAAAATACTATTTACAGAACAAATACTTGGGCTTAGATTTATATAAGAGTAAAAATAACAAGTGAATAGTGTGTGTTCTCTCCCGTCACTCGATTGTTGCTAGCTTCTCTTCATCTACCTCAAAAGCCTTCCTGGCTTGTTTCAGCTCCTCATTCATAGACAGCAATTCTGTACAGCGGTTAAGTTTTGGTAAGTCCTGCAAGGATCATAGTTGATATAGTGTTAGCATATAATTCTCTGCATCAACAATTGCAAGTTGCAGAAATTAACATAATGAAGTTGTCAAATCTTTCTAAAAGCTTCAAAGATGAACAAAACATCTTCAAACTATAAACTCCAGTGAGATAAAGTAGTTTTACAATCAATCGGGACCCATGTGTATTTCTTGTAATTGTAGCCAATTTCTTCAGATAGTGGACACCAATTTGTCTTCCAACTTCAATTTGTTCGATATCAAGCAATAGAAAATCATGTACAAGGAGTATGAAGATGTTCTCAGATCAACCATCCACTGAAAACTTAAATATGCCAGTGTATTCTCTCTCTGAGTGACCAAGAAGCATAACTGGCTCATTTCACACAAAATGCTTCCAAAGGATAAATAATTACACTAGTACATAAATAACAAATAAGGAAGCCACTGCATTACTAATTAACAATTGCACCCCTCTAGTTTGTTGCAACTAACATAACATGCAAAAAATTCTCCAAGAATTAATTCACAAAGCAATTTATAACTATTAGTATCCATATTCTGCGAGACAATGAACCCACAGCAATTCAAAATGCTACTCATCTTCAAGGAAACCAGATTTCAAGAAGATGCAAACATGATGCTGCTGTTTACATGGGAAAACCACTTCCCAATCTGCTTTACCTTCACACCGAAGCCATCCATGAAAGATATTTAGTGTCAGAAATATAAGCTCTCTCAGAGAAGTAAAAAATTTCAGTCACAAGCACAAAAGACCGTCAACGGAAAGAGCTCACCACAAATAAATTTCAACATATTAAATCCAAATGGAACCTCCATTTATAGATGAATTTCCGCAGGAAAATGTACCTTCCGAATTAAGAACAGAAAATCCTCAGTTAAGAGCTTTCCCCTTTTCGATGCAATATCTTGTGCCTTATGCACCTGTGGATGATCATAGAAATTGTTTGCATTCCATCTAACTCCAAATGAGGTAAAAAAGAAAAAAGAAGATAACATTACATGCAAGCTCTGCAATGGATACAATCAAAAGGACCTATAAGTTCATTTGATCCGACAAAGCTACTGCAATAGTCATGGATGTTTTTTGCAGTGAATTATTGGTAGTTCAAAAGCAGATCTGAGAAAAGTAATCCTAGCTTACCATATCTGTAACATACTCCACAACAATGTCCTCCACAAGTGCCACAGTTTCTGGAAGAGGCTGGAGTGCAGCACAATAAATTCACAGCAGAGATAAAATTACTCAACAAATTCAACAGTCAGAAAAACTGTCAACTCTTGACATTTTAACAGCATAAAAACTAATTCAACCAACAAAAGCGCCCATCATTTCTGCAAAGCAAAAATAAGCACACATCTAGTTTGACAAACCTACAGAACCATGATAGAAGAAATCTAAAATTTAAGTAAGCTCCAAGAGAATGCAACGTGCAGATAAAGTTTGTTTGTTGGCCAAAAACAACTTCCACTATGCAATTGAAGGACATTGTTTTCCTTAATTCAGAGTTTTCAAAGTGTTAAGTTCAAAAGAGGGAAGATAAACAAGAGCTGAAGTTCTTATCAACATTTGTTATTATTGTTAAGAATAGTAGGGTAGTATGTGTAATTTGTTAATAGTAAGAGGGTGTATGTGTAATTATTGTTATTGTAGGTTAACTATAAATATGAGTAATGTATGAGAGTTAGGTTAAGTTTTTAACCTCTCTCTTTCTCTCTAATATTGTCTCTAATATTGTGTTATGTTAATTCTCTCAACTTAACATGCTATCAGAGCATTAATCCTGGTGTTGTTACTATTCGTGTGGTGTTGCTGTCATTGGTATAGTTGACGTTGTGGTGTCAACTCAATCTGGTTTCCTCTTTTTTTTTTGATTCGTGGTAGTGCAGTCAAATGGTACAGTCGTTGGTGGCGACTGTCTTCGTCGTGTAGTCGACTGGTACAGTCGTTGGTGGTGACTGTCTTCATGGTGGTGTAGTCGACTGTCTTCGTGGTGGTTTGTGGTGGTGTTCGGTGTTGTGGTGTGGTGGCGTTCGGTGTTGTGGTGGTGTTCAACAGTGAAGGTATAGGGTTTGATAGAAACCCTAACCAGCAAAGGAGAAGACCCTGTTCAAGTGGGTTAGTTTGTAGGTTAGGGTAAAGGATCCAGATCCAGATCCAGACCCAGAACCAGATCCTGATCCAAGATCCAAACCAGACCGGTCCAGTCTGGTTCAATCTGTTTCAGTCCAGTTCAGTGCTTCAGTAGGTATCTCTGGTCCGGTTCAGCTCTCAAGTGAGCTTCTCTAGTCCAATTCAGCAATCAAATGAGGCTATTCTTCTCGGTTCAGTGGTCCAGTGGGTATTTCTGGTCCAGTTCAGCCCTCAAGTGGGCTTCTCTTGTCCGGTTCAGCAGTCCAATCAGCCTATTCTTCCCGGTTCAGTGGTCCAGCAAGCCTAGCCAGTCCGGTTCAGTCTTTCTAGTAGCCTTCTTTTCTCTGGTTCTACATTGCAACACTTCTTGTTCCATATTTGCTGCACTGTAATGGAACCCAAGCAAGATACTAGGTCTCTTACTCCGTCTTTGCCACCCCACGTTCTTATCAATGGTCCCATTACCTCTGTTAAACTCAATAGGACCAATTATACTTAATGGTCCCGATCCGTTCAAGTATTTCTTCGAGGCAAAGGATTTAAGAAATATTTGGTGGATCCTAAACCCAAGGAAGACACTCCTGGGTATGATCAGTGAGAACAAGAGGATGCTCAAATTATGTCTTTACTACTGAATAGCATTGAGCCTAGTATTAGTTCCACTCTACTCTACGTTGACACTGCCAAGAAGATATGGGATCACTTGGCCACTACTATGTATTCTGGAACAGGTAATTTTATCCGTGTGTATGAGGTGTGTAAGAAGTACTTCCGGTTAGAGCAGGGTACTCTAAGCCTTGCGGATTATTACTCTCATATTCGGGGAGTCTGTGAGGAGATGAAGACCTACCATCTTTTTACTATTGATGTAGCAGTTTGGTAGAAACAACATGAGGACTTGAATGTTGTTAAGTTTTTGGTAGGATTGAAACCTGAATATGAGGCTATTCGTTCTCAGATTTTGGGTGGTTCTAGTCTTCCATCACTGCTTGAGGTTTTCTCTCATTTACAGCGTGCTACACTGTCTACTCCTTCAGGCATTGATCATGGTGTCTCCACTGATCGTTCAGCTCTTGTGGTTCCTAGTAGCCATAGTGATTGTCATCGAGGTGGACGTGGTGGTCGAGGAGGTCGTACAAAAGGTTGTACGGGTGGTCGTGGGGGCTGTAGTGGATCCCGTTCCTGTACTCACTGTGGTCGTGGAGGGCACACTGTTGATTTCTGTTGGGATTTAAATAAAAAACCTTCTAGTGCTACGAATCAGGCTTCTTATCAGGATGATACCTTTGTTGTTGCTCCCATACCTCGGTCAGCTCTACCAGACACTAGGTCAGTTACTATTACATTGGGTCGAGAGGAGTATGCCCAGTTTCTGTCCCAACAACAAGCTGTACCATCTCCCTCCACTGTTACTTTTGCCCAGTCAAGTATTGCTTCTACTTGTTTATTATCCTCCACTTACAGTCCCTGGATCATAGACTTTGACGCTTCTGACCACATGACTGGTGCGTCTATTATTTTTTCTACTTATCAGTCTGCTACTTCCACACGTAGTATTACTCTTGCTAATGGTTCTTGTTCTAAAGTTTCAGGTCTTAAAACTACTCACTTGAGTCCTGATATGTCCCTATCTTCCGTGTTATTTGTCCCTCAGTTTTCATTTAGTTTACTTTCCATTAGTAAGATTACTCGTTCTCTCAATTGTTCTGTGACCTTTTATTCATCTTATTGTGTCTTTTAGGATCTCAAAACGAAAAGGAAGATTGGTACGGGACATGAAGCTGGTGGTCTATATTACTTTGATTTTGATTCCCCTACTCGGGCCCTACAGACCTCATTGTCTCCTTTTCAGTGACATTGTCGTCTTGGACATCCCTCTGTCCAGAATTTGAAGCGCCAAATTTCCAGTCTTAGTTGTGTGTCGTCTTTGTCTTGTGAAGCTTGTCAACTTAGTAAGCATCACCATGTGTCATTTCAGTCTAGAGTCAATAATCGTGTGTCTAGTCCATTTGAATTAGTCCATTCTGATGTATGGGGTCCAATAAAAAATATTTCATCTAATAAATATCCTTATTTTGTGATATTTGTAGATGACTATTCTCGTGTGACTTGGTTGTTTTTTATGAAAGCTCGATCTGAATTATTCTCTATCTTTGAGACATTTCGTAAGGAAATAAAATCTCAGTTTGGTTGTCGTATACGTACTTTACGTTCAGATAATGCTCAGGAATATGAATCTGATCATTTTTCAGTTTATCTCAATAAAACTGGCATTATTCATCAGACCTCTTATGCTTACACCTCTCCACAAAATGGTGTTGCTAAACGCAAAAATCGTCATTTGTTGGAAGTCACCCGTGCCCTGTTATTTCAGATGAATATTCTCCGATATCTTTGGAGTGATGTTATTCGTACTGCTTGTCATCTTATCAATCGTATGTCATCCTCTGTATTAAATGGACAAAGTCCACATTCTGTCCTTTTTCCTGGTAAGCCCTTATTTTCCCCGACTCCTAAGATTTTTGGTTATGTCTGTTATGCTCACAATTTGGGCCCTGGGTTTGACAAACTTGACTCTCGAGCTACCAAATGTGTATTTCTTGGTTACTCCCGCACGCAGAAGGGGTATCGTTGCTACAGTCCTTCTCTACACCGATACTTTTCTAGTGCCGATGTCACGTTTGAAGAATTTGTTCCATATTTTCCAGCACCTTCTCAGCCTCTGGATCTGGACTTTGGGTTATTTCCTGTTCCACCATCTATTTCCTCATCTTCAGATATTCCGCTGTCCACTGTGTTACCATCTACTTTACCTCTTCATGTCTACTCTCGCCGTCCTCGCCCATTGACTGAGGTGCCCATACCATCTTCCTTGCTGCCTTCTGATCCTAGTACATCAGATAATTTAGACTTTTTACCTATTGTTTTTCGCAAAGGTACTCGTTCGTGTGTTATTAATCATCTCATTTCTCATTTTGTTTCATATGATGTCTTGTCTCCTGTCTTCTCTTGTTTTACTTCCCAATTATCTGCTATATCTCTTCCTAAGCATTTACAGGATGCATTATCTGATCCGGGTTAGAAGAAAGCTATGGAAGAGGAGATGGATGCCTTACACTATAATAGGACTTGGGATCTCGTTCCTTTGCCTCCTGGTAAACGAACTGTTGGCTGTCGTTGAGTGTATACTGTTAAAATTCATCCCGATAGATCTGTGGAGCGTCTAAAAGCCCGACTTGTTGCAAAGGGCTTTCCTCAAACTTATGGTGTTGATTATGAGGAGACTTTTTCTCTTGTTGCCAAAATTTCATCTGTTTGTATCTTGATTTCTTTGGCTGCTAATTTTGATTAGCCCTTGTTTCAGTTAGACGTCAAAAATGTCTTCTTACATGGTGACTTGGTTGAAGACGTATACATGAAGCAACCACCTGGGTTACTACTCAGAGGGAGTATGGTAAGAGTATATGTTGGTTAACGAAATCTTTGTATGGTTTGAAGCAGTCATTGAGGGCATGGTTTGGTAACTTTTTATATGTAGTTTTAGAGTTTGATTTTCTCCGATGTCAAATAGATCATTCTGTGTTTCATAGACAGACAGATGCTGGATATGTCCTATTAGTGGTCTATGTAGATAATATTGTGATTACTGAAAATGATTCTGAGGGAATTGTCAAGTTAAAAATATTCTTAGAGGATCGATTTCATACTAAGGATTTAGAAAAACTCAGGTATTTCTTGGATATTGAGGTGAATCAATCTAAACAGGGTATTTGTTTATCCCAGAGAAAATATGTACTTGACATGCTTGAGGAAGCAGGTTTGCTCGATGACAGACCTATTGATGTTTCTATGGATCTGAATCAGAAACTTTTGATGGATGATGATGCACTGTTTGAGAATCCAGGTCGGTATCGCAGATTGGTTGGAAAGCTCAATTATCTAACTATTACTCGACCGAATATTTCATATGCAGTCAGTATAGTAAGTCAGTTCATGGGGTGTCCTAGAGTACCACATTGGGAGACAGTTACTCGTATTCTGCGATATCTCAAACGTGCTCTTGAACTTGGACTGTTATATCGAGCTAATGGACATCTTAAAGTGGAAGGTTTCTCAGATGTTGATTGGGATGGCTCTCCTTCTGATTGGAGATCCACTGGTTATTGTACTTTCTTAGGAGGTAATGTTGTTTCATGAAAAAGTAAGAAATAACCCGTGGTACTAAAATCCAGTGCTGAGGCTGAGTATAGGGCAATGGCACGTACGACGAGTGAACTGACGTGGCTACTACACTTCTTCCAAGAAATTGGGTTTACAGCGCTGTCAATCCTGTGTTTTACGAGAAAACTAAGCATATTGAAGTTGATTGTCACTTTATTTAGGACAAAATAGTAGCCGAAAAAATTACAACTCCATTTGTGAAATCTAAAGATCAGCTTGCAGATACGTTTACCAAAACATTGAGTCGTATACGTCTTACAGCTATTTGTTCCAGGCTTGAATTATATGATCTATATA